ATACGTTTGGTTATGTGTGAGGGCAAAAGTAGTGGTCACAACACTGTCCCGGGAGGGTGTAGTGAGCTCACTCCAGCACCCCACAGCACAGGGTGGCCGTGAAGTCAGCGGATTTCGCATGCCAGGGGCTGAACGCCTTGCCCTCTGGCTGCCCAGAAAATGTTGGGGCAGGTCTCTGTGACTCCGCAGTTTTCTCAATGTTCAAACTGACTTAAATCATTTATGACTAATGGAATAAATAAAAAGTTTTGTCATAAAAATCTGCGTAGAAATTGTTTTTTTGTGAGACACGCGTTTTGATTGATGAAATTGGTTTCAAAAGGAATTGCAGGGAAATTACAAGAAATCAACTTTCATCCTTCTCCACCCGCTTTTTCCCATTCGGGTCCCTTTTATTCTTGGTTTCACAGCAATATCCATCACATATTCCCATATGATTCTAATCGGAAATACCCAATTAAGTGGGGTATCACCCAGAAAACAAAAGCACAATCTGTTACAGGGAAAAGTTCCCCAATTACATTTATTTTTCAGAAAACACTTTACATTTCCTCTCAAGAGATATTTTGGATACTAATGTTTGCTAACTTTATAAGTGTCATTAGTTATCCAAGACAGATAAGGTTCAATTACAAATTTTGTAAACTGGAACGTTTATTAGCAGAAAGGCCATTTTCTGACCAAGTACAGTACAGTATATTCAATTTCAAGCTTTTTATGAATGTTGTTCTGCAGGATTACGTTAGTTTGGATTAAGTCATGTTTGTTTGAGTTTTGTTTATATTGGTAAATTGTTACGCTTCCAGACATTGATGCAGTTGAATGAGGATATTTTTTTTCTTTCTTAAATTATCATATTCACTGAAGCACTATGCACCCTGTTGTAAGACCCGCACCATTGTTTTTGAGACAAAAAAATATGCCCAGTAAGTTACGCACCCAGTTGTCAGTGGCTCTGAAATATATTATTTCAGTAAATACGCTCCAATATTTGAGATTTTGAACAATTGGAGTTGATTTGTACTGAATTTGTTTTGGTTTCATATTTTCATTTTCAACTTTTGGTTTTTGCTTATTGCTTATTGCATATTTTATTCATTCTAGTCTTTGAAGAGGTAATTTATGTGAACTCAGCTGGTTAATTTTTTTTTATGGGACACGCACCAAAAATTTAAGAAATTCATTTTCTGAAAGACTGTATACTCGAGTATGACGGGTGTAGCCCCTTTAGAAATTTAATTTCAAAATTAGAGGGAAAAGGTGGGCAGGTGACTCTAGTGAATGTGATGATCTTGTTGGTGAAAATTGGATCACAGAACTTAGATTTATGGTTCCTTAGGTTGAGGAACGACTTGCTTTGGAATGAGGCACCCTGTGTGGCAGACGCCTGGCTTGCCGGGCGAGGGCCGGTTGTAAATGGTGGTGGGGAGAGGGAGTGCCGGGCGGCACAAGAGAGAGCCTCCCTCTCTCTTTCTCTCCCTCCACCCCACCCGGCGAAGGACGCTTCGTTAGCGCTAGCCGACCGACCGAACGGACACTGGTCAGAAAGTGATTCCATACGGGGCAAGTGACTCTTGACCGCCGGTGTGTTGCCGGCTACCTAGTGCGCAAGTCGTGCTCGTGTGAACAGGGAGGCCCAAGCGAAAGCCTTTGGGCCGAAAGCTCTTAGAGGCGGCTACTGTACAAGTTCGAAACCAAGGCTAACGCCGCATTAGCATAAGCTCCTAGTTACTTACCAACAACCACAGAACTGTTTGTTCCTGTTGGAAGTGAATTCGTTCTGGAGGGATAGCAGTTTCGATTTGAATTCTTTTTTGTGGATTTCGGGAGAAGGTCATTTCGAATTACCGGAATTTTGGAAGGACAGTACGTTCAAACTTGGATTCGTTTTGTTCAGTTCCGTGCTATCTATCTTTGTTCAATCGTTTATCCTAGTTCAATACTTTATGGATTTCAACTTCTGAATATATTTAGAAGTTCCGTGTGAATTTACTCATGGTCGTGAGAATTCCGTTGTTGCGTCTGTGTTATGAATTTTTAAGCAGAAAAATGCCACGATTTTCGCATATCCCAGGCGGACTTGTGTTAAGATCGCGGATCATTTCCTGTGATATCAGACCTTCGTACCATCAATCCGTTAAGCTTTTTAAAATGCGCCTAGCTCGATTTTCAGCACATTTATTTTTAACTGTTATAAGACGACTCTTCACTTTTGTTTTACATACCAGAAAACCACTCACTGACCTTGGTTAGTTTAGTTAATGTTACAATAGAACTCACTTTGCCGCAAAGTTTATAGATTTATATATACAACGGATTTGTTTCGGTACGTGGAATCAACTGTAATTTCAAATCGTGGATGCGTAAAGGTCTGACGTTTTAGGTTGATGATGAGTGTTACCAACCTCGGTTGCCTGGGATTCCAATCCTTCCATACCGAATAAGGCGACCACTTGACAACATCTCAGTTATTTTCTTTATTTATTAATTTATTTACTTTTAAGAAAGATGAGCAGACAACGAAAGAATAGACACGAAAATAGGACGCCTCTTCACGAACTCCCCCTCTTTCCTAGTTCACCAAACAATTACTACGAGGACATCGGTTGACGTGGCTCCATGGACTGAAAGATTCGTAATGAGATGCTGAAACCAGCCTTTTGAATCGCTTTCCTTGTTTGTGCCTTGAGAGTGTAACACGCAGTTCCTTGGTTTTTCATTTGTTTGTTTTTTTGTCAAGACAATTGTCTGAAGCGCCTGTGTTACAGATCAGGTAAAAGTTGTGCAGTACTTGTAGAAGCTGGTTAAACTCACCTTTCTGGATTAAACCAGGATTGTTTTTCTCCAGGGTGAGGATTTGCAGTTGTGTACCATGTTGTATATTCCAGGGTTTTTCAAGGAAAAGTTGTCTTGTCTAAAAAACAATACAATGTAGACAACTAGGGTTTTTAACTGAAGTTGTCTTAAATCAGCTCCTTACTAGTGTTTAACTTGGTAAATTAAGCACGTGAGTCGGAAAGAATTTAAAATAAGTGACGTTCAAATCACCAATTTGCTTTGGAAAAAAACTGAAATAATCAAATGAGACCTCCTTCCTCATGTTTGATTAACCTTGGAGTTTTTATCTTCTACTTGAGATAACAGGAAAGTACCAAAATGGTACCTGAATTACTGTAATTTGTGGCACAAATTCCCAGCAACATCACAGGTCTGATATGAGTATAACTTCGTCTCAAATAATTGTGTGTAACATATTACAGTGTACAGTATTTCAACGTCCCTCCAGTTCATACAGCCACACTTGCATGGTGTATAGATGTAAATTTTTTTATTTTTCTTAAAACGAAGTTTTGTTTTTAGGTCCGAAGGGCTGTAGTGTAACTTATTTCTACCCATATACAGTGTGTTCATCAAGATTAATTCGTCTCCGAATATGTGGTTGAGTTGGTTTTTGCTAGATTAGCTACAATATGATGCAATCATAAGTTTATAATTCTTGATGATCATATTTCAGTATTCTGGTGTTCAATTGCGTTAGTTTTTTACTGCAGTGAGGTTAGTCTTGTTGAATGGCCATTTTTTGATGGATAAGAGATGGACGAAAATTTTTGGAACGGAGGCAATTTATGAGAAAATATCTATTTCTAGTTCCATATGGTCGCTTTCATATTAATTTAAGTTGAAGATAATAAGTTTACTTGAGTTGAATCGTAGAAGCCGTGGTTCAGTAAAACTATCGGTGTCGGAAAAAATAGGTTTTCCTGGAAGAAATTATACCTGCATTAGCTTTAGCGAATGCCGCCTGTTGGATAATGTGAATAATTATTCAATTCTTGCGAATGATTGCGTCTTTTTTTTCGAGATTAGACGATCTGTTGCATAATCCCAAAGATCTGGGAAGTACCTGGAGTGTCTTTCTTGGGAAGGAGCACATGCTTGTGATCGTTGCTTCAGTGAGCTTGTATCTAACTGGGATACTCCATCGAGGCTATGGTTCATATCTGGATTCCCTTGAAACCTTTCATTAAATGTTGTGTTCGGAAATACTTTTTGATGGATTTTCTTCAAAGAATTGCGCGCTGTTCCAAGGAAGNGGGAAGGAGCACATGCTTGTGATCGTTGCTTCAGTGAGCTTGTATCTAACTGGGATACTCCATCGAGGCTATGGTTCATATCTGGATTCCCTTGAAACCTTTCATTAAATGTTGTGTTCGGAAATACTTTTTGATGGATTTTCTTCAAAGAATTGCGCGCTGTTCCAAGGAAGGGGAAAATTCTGAACGTCTCTCTGTACCCGCGACTGTGAAAGCAAGCGTCGAAGTATTTTTTCTGTTTCAAGTGTCTCAAGCTTTATTCTATTTTTCACAACAGTTTTTACGCGAACACGAGACACGCGTCAATTTTTAGAGTCATAATTTTTCAGCCGCTTGAAGCCTTAAACTGATAATTTTATGATTACATAAATTTATGATTACAAGTCTTATTCGGTGGATGTGAGACGAACTGTCCGAATTTTCTTGTCTAAAAAATCAGTTGTGCGGAATCGACCAAGAATTACATTGGTGAGCATCTTCTCGAAAAACTTATGTAAGTAATGTGACTGACGTGTTTTGGAACGATGGTTATCTTCGATTTGTTTTTCCGTCACATCAGATTTAGAAGCAATATTATGACGATGATTTTTCAAGTGCCGTACTTCGTATTCAGTGAAAATTTCGCGTTGAACATGCCCTTGATTGGTTGAAGTAAGTTTCGATGACGTTATGGGGCTTGAATAATATGCCTCGATTCGTGAATTACTGTAGTGTACTTGATTATGTAATATATTCTAAAACGCACCCGTGTCGAAATTAGAAGACAGGTGTATCATGTCCGCGGATATATGATGCCTTTTTTTGTTGACAATGATTACCCTAGTCATTTCAAACAATCTTCGTGAACATTTAATCGTGCGAAGTGAAGCTCGTGGCGAAAATGCGGTGAATAAGTGTGTGTGTGTGTGTTCGTGTTGTGGTTTGGAAGAGAAAGAAGGACTATTTACAGTGCAGAAATTGTGCCATGACGGGAAAAGTAGCCGATCAGGACCAACAGTCCCGTCATCGTCGAGGATGGCGATATCACAATCGGGAAGCTCTCGACAAGCTGTTAGGCAATGTGAATGGAGACACTATGGACTCGATGAATCGTCCTGCCAATGGCAGCTCTCATCAGCACCATCATCACCCCCACGATGTGCGTTTTATTTTGGAAAAAGAAGAAATTATTTTGGGATTTTAATTTTGACTGAGATGTGAAATTGGCTGGGTGATGCCTGTCAAACTTTCTGTACTGTACTCATCAATATTCCCTTCATTTGTGTTTTGGAAAATATGAGAAAGGGAACATTTTGAGATGTGTAAAATTCAAACCAGAAACATTTTGAGACATGTACCATTTGAGACAGAATCATTTTGAGTCACATATAATTTGAGAAGAAAAAATTGAGACATGCAGGCTGAGCCTGAATTTCATTCCTCCACCGTTCTTCATTGAAATTTGTAAATACTGTACTGTTTATATTCTTAAAATGTTTATTTAACTTTTAAAAATGATAATTCTCGATTTGACTAACATGTGATGGCTGGTTGGTAAATTTTTTCAATGTTGAATGAATGAAATCACTGTCAAATTTATCCGATTGCAGTGTTCATCAATATTCCCACCATTTGTATCGGAACAATTTGAGGCAGGAAAATTTTGATTATCCATAAAATTCAAAACGGAAACATTTTGAGGCAGAAACATTTTGAGACATATAGAATTTGAGGCAGAAAAATTTTGAGACCAATTTCATTTTCCGTTTCGAGACAGAAGATACCCAGATTATTTAATTCTGAGATGACTGTAGGGCCAACACTTTTGAACCTTTACTTTCTAATTAACGGTGATTTCTGTGTTAAATTTTACCTCGACATTCGTAAGTTTATGATGCCACTTTCTTACGCTCAGGTCGAGCCTAAATTTTATTCATCCTCGGTTCTAAGTAGTAAATTTGTAAATATATTTATATTTTTTATTTATCTTTTAAAAATGACGCCGCTCTCACGTTGAAAAATTTGAGAAGTGGGGTGAAACATAAAATTGCCGTCTAAGGTTGGTTATTGATTTTTGGGTGTTGGCTATTTTTGGGCTCTTCAAATAATTGGCTTTTTGTGTCTGTCAATTTTGAGATTGAGACGACGCATGCAAAATTTCAAAGTGGGGGAAGGAATATATAAAATTACCGACTTTTCGTAGCCTAAACGAACTCGAGCGTTAAAGGAGAAAGTGCCACTTCATGAACCACAGTACGGAGCAACTTAAAACTTACGGCACTTAGTGATTAAAAAAAGGACCTTTAGTCCCTGTACCTTGTCTCCTTTGAAAGTACGTCCGTGTGATCCGCTGTAACGATCAGTGTCTTCTCCGATAAATACTGAACAGTACTTCTTTTTTTTTAAATAAATCACTAATTTTTTTCCTGGAAATCAGGGACATGGAACAGAGCTTTGAAAGTACGTCCGTGTGATCCGCTGTAACGATCAGTGTCTTCTCCGATAAATACTGAACAGTACTTCTTTTTTTTTAAATCGTTTTTTATGCGTACAATTCTGTGTGTTGAAAGATTTTTTGTTCGTCATCCGAAGTTTTTCTCGCTTCAATGCGATTGAGAAAGTTGTATTGTTTGCTGTGGTCTACGGCGACAATAAAAAGGTGGCTTGAACTTACTCCATTTGAATGTTCCTAAGGCGTAAATAAACCATCCATCCCAATTAAACTAACCTTCATACATTTGACGTGGGTAGATTAAATTATTTTTGAGGCGACTTCGCTCGCTATCTTTTCGAAGTACGGTGATATATTGATTCAATTCTGAGACATTTTTTTTTTTTAATTTTGTTTTATTTCTGTATCGGTTGATCAAATCTGATTAAAACGTTGATAAGGATCAGAACCAGTGTTGTAGACTCGTTCGGGTTCATGGAACCGACTGATCAAAATTCGTGGTGTTCTTGGAATCTCTCCGTCAGATTTACGTCAGTTCCTAGCATTTGAACTCATTTTTGTACTGCGTGATTCATTTTTTTTATTTTGTTCTGAAGGTTGTCTCGATTAATGTGCTTGATCTGATACTATAATGAGTTGTCAGTTTACCGAGTAATTTGAAGTTACTGTACAGAGAATGTCTTTAGTTGGTCAGAATCGAGCTTATCTGAGAAATAATAAGTTTTTTCGATGTTCGTCGTTGTGTAGAAAACTGTTTTCCACTTGATTCTGTGTGGTTTTGCTGTTCTTGTACTTTTTAGATTTTGAAAGAACTGTACGTTTAAATTGTGATTGTCATTTATGCCCGCGAATAAATATAATTCGAGCCATTATTCATAGAAGAAAACCGTTTTCTTGTCCCAAAAAAATGCATCAAAAATTGTCGGGAGTCCGTTGTGCTTAAAATCTGCTGTACGAAGCGCTCGGGAACCGGGATGTGCAATTTTATTATTCAAGCCACGTCATCTCGGTGTCGGGCATTTTGTTGACTCGGCATCGCTCAACAAACCAGAGTTTAGAGTGAGCTTCGCGTGTGCGTGCTTTCTTGGGGGTGAGGGGGAATACAATCGCCAACCTCGTGAGGGAGAAAACTATTTTTATTGAATTTTTTTCTTCTCACTGGGTTACAGGGTTCGCTTTGCGCAAAAGTTGTCTTCGGGGAATTTTGTTGTTGCTCTTTCTATACTCGTCGTGGAGTTCGACGTATTCCCTGATGCGCGCGAATTGAGGAAGAAATCGGTATCGATGGGATTTTAAATCACAGCGCAGGCTTATTTTTTTGTGTGCAGAAATCGGCTTGCAAATTTGAGGCACGTCTTCACAGTCTATAATTTGTGAGATTTGCGAAGGAAATTTGTTCGTAACTGTATCGGACTGAGGTGACTTTTTTGGATGACTATTTCAAGTCGAAAATTCGATTCGACGATTCTTCGCGAACATTTTCAGTTATCGAGTAAACGTTTTTGAATTTTGTTCGTAGTTTGCTGGTAACTGAAGCATGACTAGAATCCATCGAGTTTTTCTTTTTCTCAAAAATTTTAAATGAATGGAACCACGTTTTATCCTGTAAAAAAAGCTAAAAAGTCCGTGCACACTTTTTTAATTATAAAATATAAACTCGCTCTTACAAAGTCTGAAAATAATACGTAGGTTCTAGTAAGTTTTAGTAGCTAAAAGACTTAAATACAGCACTCATTCAATTCATTTTTCATATATCGGTGAATTTGAATTTTGAGTGATCTTCGAGAATGAAAATACGGTTGTTCCAACTGCTTTTTAACTTCTACAAAATGTCTGTCGAAAGCAATTTTCAGAAAACGAACGTTTCATAAATCAGATAATTTTTTTTCTTGACACATCCCTCTGGGTGTTTGTATCATGTGGTCTTTCCGTTACTTCAATGGTAAAATCGGATATTCATCTAATTTATTTCAAACAGAAATTGGCATTGATATGTGATGGATTTTCCTGCGTTGACAGAAGTGACTGTCAAACACAGGATTTATGTGTTGAACTTGAGTTGAGCAAATGTATTTCTGCTTCCGGGCCCATTTTTATGCAAGGCGAGATTTGCTTCAGCTGTTCACTAGGGCCGATTGGGTTTTGGGTGAAATTCTCATTTTTTTTGTAGCTTCGATTATATTTTTTAAACCTCTATAATTTGTGTTGGTATTCCACTTTTGAGGGAGCACAGAAAATGCTGACTTTTTCAATGCCGAGTACATTTCCATAAGCTGTACTTCCCTTTGGTGGTCTTTATTTGAAGGTATATTTTTCAGAATCGAATCCATTGTTTTGATGGTAGGAATGTATGGAGAGCGTTGAACCTTAAGATTAGGTGTAAAGTTCGCCTACGGCAGACAAAAAACATGTGGGACGTAACATACAACCTTAGCCCAGCGTTGCTCACACACTTTCACTAAGGAGCCCAAAGAGGCCGTAATAAAAGGGTCTCGAAGAATGTCTCTTTTTTTCTGGGAATTTTTACTGAAATTCAAGAAGTCCCAAAGACGTGTTGTTATATATATTTTTTTAATATTTCTTAAGAATTGTTGGAATAGTTCTTTTTACCTGAAGTTGATTTTGGGCTATTATTGAAGACGGGAAATTTTCTTTTCCGAGAATTTCGTCTATGGAATGCACTTGTTTTTAGATGTACTGCAAATTGTGAAAGTATATCGCCGAAGGATCACGTAAATGTCGCGTTTAGGTTAATCCGTAGAAATGGATATTAATCCGGTTGATTTGTAACGGATGAATGTTTTGTTCGGAGCATGAATTCATGGGTCATTTTTAGTAATTTACAGAACCTGGAAATTGAGCTCCCTTTTTTTTTTTTACTCTCCTTTATGGACAATCTCAAATTTTAGAAAAATGGCGCGTTAAATTAGCACTTGTTTCCATTTTTTCACTGCACGCAGGAATCCATTTTCTGAAATCTCATGCTTCTGAATCACTCAATTGAAATTGAGAAGGAAAAGTGATGCACCTTTTTGTATGTTATTCTCGGATGTTTCATTTTTTGAGCATATTCAGGAAAAATTCAATTTTCTGTGGTTGCAANTGGAATTCTAATCCACATTTCAAGCGGATGCCGTCTGTTTTTTGTACACCCTGCATTGTATGTTGGAATCGGGTCGCAACGAGTGTGTGAAAGTGATTCCTCGGGTTTCTCCGGCATTATTTTCCCAGTCGAAGAATGTCTCTTTTTTTTCTGGGAATTTTTACTGAAATTCAAGAAGTCCCAAAGACGTGTTGTTATATATATTTTTTAATATTTCTTAAGAATTGTTGGAATAGTTCTTTTTACCTGAAGTTGATTTTGGGCTATTATTGAAGACGGGACGTTTTCTTTTCCGAGAATTTCGTCTATGGAATGCACTTGTTTTTAGATGTACTGCAAATTGTGAAAGTACTGTATATTGCCGAAGGATCACGTAAATGACGCGTTTAGGTTAATCCGTAGAAATGGATAGTAATCTGGTTGATTTGTAACGGATGAATGTTTTGTTCGGAGCATGAATTCATGGGTCATTTTTAGTAATTTACAGAACCTGGAAATTGAGCTCCCTTTTTTTTTTTACTCTCCTTTATGGACAATCTCAAATTTTAGAAAAATGGCGCGTTAAATTAGCACTTGTTTCCATTTTTTCACTGCACGCAGGAATCCATTTTCTGAAATCTCATGCTTCTGAATCACTCAATTGAAATTGAGAAGGAAAAGTGATGCACCTTTTTGTATGTTATTCTCGGATGTTTCATTTTTTGAGCATATTCAGGAAAAATTCAATTTTCTGTGGTTGCAACAGGTGGCCTGTGATTGACTTGAACAATATCGGCTGTGATTCGCGTGCTTTCAGGTCGCTGAACATATTTTAAAATTGAGCGACATCTATGTGGTTAGAAGGGAATTCTTTGGGATAGCGACACGGAGAGAGGAAACAGGCGTTAGCCGTGACTGGTGTGATTTCGTTTCGAGGATGAAAATCGATCCATTTCCAAAGAAAATTTGATGTAGAGGAGCTGCTTCCGCATTAATGAGCTCACCAAATATTTCTTAAAAACGGTTCATTAACAGGTGGACTTTCTCTGCAACGAAATTCAGTGGACAAAAAAAAAAATTGGTTGTAGAAAAAATTTCGCTGTAGAGAACGCCTTTGAATTGGGCAGAGAATCCCCATGGGACCAAACAAAAAATTCGTTGTTCAGAGAAAAATTTCTAGAGAGAGTCTACTTGTATTATTGTCAAACCCCAACTTCAAGGGACCACACCAAAAATCAAGTTGGGGAAATGAGCATTTTTTTCTATGGGGCAAGAAAAAAGCATCACGGGAAATTTTCATTGGTGATATTCTCGGTTTGAAATTGCTTCCTGAATGGGTTGAAACTTGAAGGGATGCTGATATTGGGCCAAGGGTTCATTTTATCCAAATTAGTTTTTCACTTCCTTTAAAAAACTCACGAAGTCACATTTTTATTGATGTTTTCTCTTCCCTGTGCCAATAAAAATACAAAAATATCCAAGAGGCCTCCAGGAAATTGGAGTTATGGAGGTTTGAGAGGGAAAGCCTTTGAGTTGGGTAGGTTTTTTTATGCAATGTTTTTAAGGGAATACAGACAGGGATTTGAAATACCTGTATGGAGGTTTCAGTTTTTTAGGTTTCGCTTTTCTAGACTTACTGATTGAAGTTACCTTATTTTCTTCTAACTTTCTTGTCGGCTTCCGGGAAAATCTCATTTGCCAATGGAATTTTATCTGATGATCTTTTTCTTTCTTTCTTTTTTAGGGTGGAATGGGGCCTCAGTCGATGCTGCATCATGACGGTGGCTACAGTGGACCCACTGAATGGAGATACCAAGAGATTGTTCTGGAAAGGGGGAATTCCGGACTGGGTTTCAGCATAGCGGGTGGGAAGGACAACCCACACGTGGAAGGCGACAACTCTATTTACATCACGAAGATCATTCCTGGCGGTGCTGCTTCCAACGACGGACGCCTTCTGGTAAACGTTCGATTTTTCATCATCTTTGGAAATTTTTTCGAAATCTGCGACAGACAGTTCTACGATTGTTCATTTCTGGGGACCAATCGTGTGTTTTTGATGCTATCTGGGGTGTTAAAGGAACATTTAAAAAAAAAAAGAAGCCGTATGCATGTGAGGAAATATTTTGGTCGTCGGAATTCCATTTCGTCATTCGAGGTATAAAAAAAAACGGTGCGAATTTGCTCTTGGGGTGTAAAGGAACATTTTCAAAAAAAAAGAAACACCTACGAGTGTGAGGACATGTTGGAGTCGTCAGAATTCAAGTCTGTAGTTCGTTTGAGGAACAATATAAATAGCAGCGAATTTTTCTCTTCGCGTTATCGTTGAATTTGTGTTTTCGGATTACGGTGAAATTTAATTTTTATTCCCGTGTGGCAATCTTGGTAGAAATTGTCGAAACGCTGAATCTGTCTTCTCGGAATGAAAAAAAATTATGTAAGAATCAGCTCCTGTTCATGAAGAATCGTCTGTCTTTTTGGTTCTCTCTCTTTCCGTATTCATTGAATGATGACGTAATCTTGATTTTTCGATTAAAAATGTTGTACTTCATAATTTCCTGGTCGCTATTCAAAACTTTTTGCGCTGCAGTATTTATACAGTATCGAGAAAATGATAATTTCGAATTTAAATGTCGAGCAATCGAATGTCACGATGTTATCCAGGAAAATAATTCTGTGTTCTGCTGTTGAAAAAATCATTGCGTTATTTTATTGCTTTTCACTGACAGTATTTGGTGAACGTGACGTACGCTAAAAGTCGAATGATTTATAAGTTTCGTATCTCGGGATATAATCGCTCAAGTGGATTCTGATCTTCATATTTTTTTATTGACAGGTGAATGACATCATTGTCAAGGTGAATGATTGTAATGTCGTTGAGGTGCTGCACGTGGAGGCTGTCGATGCCTTGAAGCGAGCTGGAAACATCGTAAAATTGGTGAGTGGTGACATCTAGGGAGAAACTGTGCCAATTTTAAGGCAGAAATTTGGTTGCAAATGACAATAGCACAATCCAGAAAATTCCAAAGCGTTTATCTGAGGGAAAAGATTTTTTTAGCAGCTTTATTCGTATTTAGCGAAACAACTATGATTTATTTGTCAAAGATCAATTTTCGCAAAGTCTGCTTTCCAAAATTTTTTGGCAGTGTTAAGTCTTATTTTATTTAAATTGAGATGTGTTTAATTTAAGAGACACCTGCGTAAATATTCCAGTACTCGTGAGTTCGGACGTTCAAGTGGTAATAGTCCAAGTACTGTGCTGCATATTTTAAAAGTTCGTCGTGCTCAGGACGAAAATTTTAAAGCTACTCCCATGGAATGAATTTTATGAACAGCAAATTTTAAGAAAAATATCTTCCAAGAGCCGCGTTCTTGGCTGGAGGAATTTCGCTGATGAATTAATCAAGTTCTGAGGTTCACCTAATGTGGGACTTGTGTCAAATGAATTTCCGAGGACTTGATGAGCTCTTGAAATTTTCTCCTAATTACCTTTTTCCTCGGGTTTTGTCGACGCTGCGGTTTTGATGATGACGGAATTTCCCGCAATTGAATTGCAGTTGGTGAAGCGCAGGGTGCCGAGAGGAGCGAATCTGCACTTGCTGGAAGTGGACCTGAGGAAAGGAACCCGAGGTTTGGGCTTCAGCATTGCCGGTGGCATAGGGAACCAGCACATCCCTGGCGACAACGGCATTTATGTGACGAAAATCATGGAAGGCGGGGCGGCGCACGTGGACGGACGAGTCGTCGTCGGCGACAAGCTTGTGGCGGTGAAAAATACTCCCGTTAGTGTTGTATTCGCGGAAGGCTTATTTTCTCTTATTTTCCGCTCTGCAATTGCCGTATTTACAAGAGGAGAATTGGCCGCTC